GAGGGGACCGCCCTTTCCAGTAGTTCGCGTGGCCCCGTGGAGCCCCTCTCCCCGGAGCGTGGCTCTGTGGGGCTGTGGTGGCCACGCCTGGCTCGCGTGGAAAGCGCCTGTCTGGAGGGACATGGCCTCGTAGCCTGGGCCGTGGCCGGCAGGAAAGAGCGGCGCCGAGCGCGCCCTGGGGGTGGTAATGTCCGCCCGGCCCAGGGAGAAGCGAGTGCCTATGGGCACCCACCCGAGGCGCCCGGGCGCCATCCAGCGGAAGCCGGGTGGGGTGCACGGGAATGGGGGGACTCGGTGCAGTGAAGCCGGCGGAGGGTGTGAGCGAAACGCCCCCCCATGGTGGCTGAGCCTCCCAGAGGAGCAGGACACGCCCACGTGTGTCCGTGGCCTCGCTGTCTGCGTCTGTCTCCCTCTCGTCCACCTCCCTACTGGCCCTGCCTCCGCGGGTCTCCATCACCCCCGGCTTTGCCGAACCCTATCAGAGACCCCCTCGTTTTTTGTCTTCCCCTCAGGGCGACTCCGGGGGCCCCCTGATCTGTAACGAAACACTCCACGGCATCATCTCCTGGGGGGACTTCCCGTGCGGGCAGCCCAACCGGCCGGGCGTGTACACCCGGGTGTCGCGGTACTTCGCGTGGATCCAGAGGACAGTCGGCCGGCACCGAGCCCCGGCGCAGGAGCGGACGCGGGGCCCCCAGTAGAGCTGGCTGGTCCACCACCCTCCACGGCGCCTCCTGTGCTCGTCTCCGGCTGCCGCCCCCTCCTCAGTCCCAGCCGAGCGCGGGCCCAGGCTCTTGAACGTCTGAGAGCCCCTCCCCGCCGTGCGACGGTCTCCGGCAGCCCAGGTGACCATGCAACGTCCTGCCCGCCACCCAGCAGTGCCCACCAAGCCCGGACAACCTCCTGTACCCCTTCAAATATTTATTCGCCACCAACAATCTAGGCCCTTCTGTGTTTTGTGCTCAAGAAGGTTCTAAACTCCCATGACATTTCATCCTGAAAATATTCTCAGGTGCCTGAAACCTCTTGCCCCCGTCACACCCTCACCATCACTCCACACGGCTCTGGGGCCCCCCAGGCCTCCGAATCCCCATCCCTCTGATGGCGGGGGGCACTCCTGAATCCAAGAAGCCCCCAGGCCGGCCCCTCCTGTCCCTCCGACACTGACCTTTCCAGCTCTCCCAGACATCTGTGTCCAGCGTCCTCTGCTGTGACGACTCTGCCCACCACCCGGGACGTGGCGGTCAAAGGCTGGGCCTCCTCAGTGCTGCCTGCGCGGGGCAGGACCTGGGGCCTGGCTTCTCCCCGCGCCAACACTCACCACTGCTGTCACTCGCACGGCGCCCGCAGGTCACTCCCGCCGCTGCCGGGCTGTTGGTGCATAGCGGCTCAGACTGCAGGACACCCCAAAGCGCTGCGTTTGCCCTCCTCAGACCTTGTTCACAGGTGGCCGCGGCAGGCAGCGTCCCAGGCGGGTAACTGTAGTTTTATTTATTCAGCAAATACTGTGCCTCGCACAAGCCGGGTGCAGTGACAAATGGAATTAAACAGATGAAAACTTCTGCGCTGTGGAGGTGACATTCTTTGCAGGGAGCCGGGGGAAGGGCGCCTGGAGAAGCAGCCGGCCAGGCGCCGGGAGACGCGGGCGAGGGCTGCAGAGAGGAAGGGCCGAGTGTTAGCCGGGGGCTGCCCTTTGCAAGGGTGGGCTGGGGAGACCTGGGAGGGCGACATCTGTTTAAACAGCCCCAAAGGATGAAGGGGGGGCCGGTGCCTGCCTGGAACAGCATCGGGGCCAGGCGCTGCAGGACAAGGGCCCTGAGGGCAGCGGCCAGCCAGGGCGGGGAAGGAGCAGTGGGAGCTCTGCGGCTGCCCGGAGCAGGGCTGGTGGCACTGGCACAGGCCGGGCACTCGATGCCAGGTCGCGGGAGCAAGAGGCAGGTCTGCACACCGACCAGTCCACGAAAGGCCACCCGTTTCGTCTTGACGGGGCGGATGGCAGGACCCACCCGGGCGCCCCTGCTGCTCTGTGGCAGCCTCTCCCGCGGAGGCGAGGTCCGGGAACACGAGCTCGGGAGCCCGAGCGGCGTGACCCCGGAGCAGCGCTGGGGTCCGTCCCCCATGAGGCCCTTGGCGAGAGGGGCCTCCTCTTCAGTGCAAAGGAAGGGCCTTCATCTTTCGGGGGGGCCTCAGTTTCTTCTCCCGGTGCTGGCTGCTGTGGGCTGCAGCCCAGCTGCTCCCAGCGGGAGGCAGGGTTGCCTGCTGCGAACGGCTCCCTGGACCGTGCTGGACCTGAGCGGGCCCGGCCTCCACTTGACCGTGCCTCTGGTCGGTGAGGGCCGCCAGGCCCAGCAGCCGGGCCCCAGGCAGCCTGCCGCTCCGCTCCGCGCCCACTGGCCTCCGGAGACAGAGGCGCCTCCCCACCCGCCGGCAGCCCCTCCAAAAGATACAGAAGGGGGTCCTGCTTCTGGCTCGGGGCGTCACGTGTTCCCCAGCATGACGCTGCACTTTCCTAAGGGCGATCTGTCGTCCTGCCGGCAGAACAACACAACACATGCCCGCCAGCTCGCTCCGCAAGGTGGTGGGTGTCATGCCACACGCGTGTTTTTGCAACTTTGACTGACAGCAAAGGTCTGCAAAGAGCTCAGGCGAGGCGACACACGGAAACACAGAACCGAAGGAAACTCCCAAGGATGAGGCAGGTGGGCCTCCAGGAGACGGGTGGGCACCACGGGCTCCTCTCCGGGCAGGAGCCGGGCAGGACCGAGGACCCGTGCCCGGAAAGACCAGGACAGCAGGCCAGGGCTGCGAGAGGGCGCCTGGGGGCTGGGCGGGCCGGGTGCAGCCATGGGGGCCGCCAGGGAGGCTGCAGAAGGCGGCCCAGGCCCGGCCAGTCTGCTCCAGCCGCCAAGGAGCACCTGCAGCCAGGTGCCTTGAAGCTCACTGGGTGGCCTGTGGATTTCAGCTTCGAGAGAAGCTGTCCGAGGAGGCGGAGGTGACAGCAAAGGGCCCTGGTGGTGACGGGACACGGGTACCGAGGGTGGCAGGAGCGCCGGTCACAGCCACGCACCCCGCTGACCCAGGGGACAGCTACAAGAGTAAACACAGCAGCCAGGGAGGGCGAAGGAGCCAGACAACCCTCAGACAAGGGCAGCACGGAAGGGCAGGGTGGGAGAGAAGGGCTTGCGCAGGAAACAGGCCCC